TGAGATCAGGGACATATCTTCATGTTTAACCTATCCTTTAAATGTCCATAACAGGTGAGGAGTTGCCTAGTAAGACCAGGGTAAGAATTTCAGTATAAAATTAATCAGCATCTATGAAACACAGGAAGGAATATAGCGAATATTTTGTCGTATTCTTATCTAGTACAAGGTACAAGTAGGTGAGAGAAAGCTCTGAGATCAGGGGAATATCTACATGTTAAATCGATCATTTGTATCTCCATAACAGGTAAGGAGTAAGACCAGGGTAATAATTTCTGTATAAAATAAATCAGAAGCTATGGAAGACAGGTTGGAATAAGACGAATATTTTGGCCGTATTCTTATCTGGTACAAGGTACAGGTAGGTGAGAGAAAGCTCTGAGATCAGGGACATATCTTCATGTAAAACCTATCTTTTGAATCTCCATAACAGGTAAGGAGTTGCCGAGTAAGACCAGGGTAATAATTTCTGTATAAAATAAATCAGAATCTATGAAAGACAGGTTGGAATAAGACGAATATTTTGTCGTATTCTAATCTGGTACAAGGTACAGGTAGGTGAGAGAAAGCTCTGAGATCAGGGACATATCTTCATGTTTAACCTATCCTTTAAATGTCCATAACAGGTGAGGAGTTGCCTAGTAAGATCAGGGTAAGAAATTCAGTATAAAATTAATCAGCATCTATGAAAGACACGTAGGAATATGACCAATATTTTGGCCGTATTCTTATCTGATACAAGGTACAGGTAGGTGAGAAGAAGCTCGAAGATCAGGGACATATCTTCATGTTAAACCTATCTTTTGAATCTCCATAACAGGTAAGGAGTTGCCAAGTAAGATCAGGGTAATAATTTCAGTATAAAATAAATCAGAATCTATGACAGACAGGTTGGAATAAGACGAATATTTTGTCGTATTCTTATCTGGTACAAGGTACAGGTAGGTGATAGAAAGCTCTGAGATCGGGGACATATCTTCAGGTTAAACTGATCTTTTTAATTTCCGTAAAAGGGAAGGAGTTGCCGAGTTCGATGTCGAATTATTAGCTGGTACAAGCTACAGGTAGGTAGGAAAACCCTTTTAAGATCATGGTAATAATTTCAATCTAAAATAAATCATCAGCAATGAATGACATGTAGGATTATGATTATTTACATCCAAATTAGATGCTTTCTTTTAAAATAATTTGCTGTAAATGAATGCATCATATGAATACCTAATAAACAAGATGTGTTTGTGTAGCACTGATGCCCCCATATGGCAACATAGCAAATATTAAGCTTTTTTTAAATGCAAATTTAAATAATAGTTACCAAAAATAAGGTATTCTCAACGGAAAACAATTGTGAAATTTGTGAAAATGTTAAAGGTTTTTTTATAAGTACAAAAATCTCTAAGGTCAAGGCCAAAATGTCAATGTAATTGGTATCAAAATGAAAGGTCTTGCCACATAGAATTCTTATATAGAGTATGAAAGCCCTAACCCTAACCGGTCAGAAGTTATGACCTAGGTTATTTATTAAAAAGAAGGTCAAACTCCAACGTCAAGGTCAAAGGGTCAATGTTCTTGGTATCCAATGAAGTAACTTCTCACAAGGATTAAATATTTTAAGTATGAAAGCACTAGCCATAATACTTAAAAAGTTATGGTCAATGTTTGCTTTTTTAAAGTAGGTCAATCTTAAAGGTCAAAGGGTCAAAATTCTCGGTATCCAATGAAGTAACTTCTCACAAAGATCAAGTATTTGAAGTATTTGAAGTATGAAAGTCCTATCCCCTACCGTTCAAAAGTTATAGCCAAGGTTAAAGTTTCTTCACAAGTACGGAAATCTACAAGTTCAAGGTCAAAGGATCAAGGCTGTTGGTATCAAATGAAAGGTCATTCAAAAAAGATTACATATGTGAAGTATGAATGTCTTGGCATCTACTGTTCAAAAGATATGGCCAAAGTAAAAGTTTATAATTTTCATGACAAATGGGTCAAACTGCAAAAAATTAATATAAATAATCAAGAGCTAATATCAGCCTTTCAGTGCTGAAACAATTGTTTAAAAAGGATGACTCAAAGATCTTTAAAATAAAAAGTCGGTGTGACATTCCACCTTAAAGGTTTATGAAGAGTTATCTGCAATTGATGAAAAGAAGAAAATTTATTATTTCTCAAAGTATCTTAACTTAATAAAGATATAGTTTATTCAAATATTTACAAAGATATTTGTTTGCAAATCATATAACTTTTTTACAATATCTTAAATAAAAACATGTGCAGCCCATAGAACTTCAATTAATGTAAAATTCAAGGTGCAATTAATTGGACAAAAATCAAAGTTTTGTACAATTCTCAGTGAAGCATTATTTGATACCATCTTCAAAATTTTATCAAGATTTAAACTATCAGACCATTCATTTATTAGGTACGTAAAATGGTCGCTATACATTATAACCTAAATGCTTCGGAATTCTCGCGGGGCTGCCCTTCAATACATGGTCATTAGATAAGAAATGAAATCTAGTAATTTGGACTTTATAATTAGTTTAATTAATTTTTTTTATATTTCATTCATATTTTACAACAAGTATTAAATAAACATCACTGCCCTAAGTGAAGAAATATAAATAAAGTAAGCACAATGTCATATATTTGTACTTTGGATCACATGAGAAAAAAAATTCACTCGAATTATCTAGTGTGAAATATCAGGCATACCAGACCCAGAAAAGTAGTAACTGCCGAATAGCGAGAAATGTAGGATTTGTAGATTTACGTATCCCTTGCTCTATTGCGTTAGGATATGCCTCGTGGGGGAAAAATCTTGAGTTTTGTGAGAAATTAAGTCTTATCGCTAAGCTGGATATTCCTGTGAAACAATACCAGATTTCTTATTAGTGGTTGTTGTATAGGTATAAGTTTCTAATTAGAATAAGAAAATATATTATTTCTATCTCACAACCTCAGTATAATAGTCATTCAATTACACTGGCGGATTAGTTTAGAGGTTAGTGCACCCCCCCCCCCACCCACCCCGGTCCCCTTTTTCTGTCGAATATATACATATGATTTAATAATTCAATAATTTTTAATTTTAATAAAATGTAATTTACCAATCGAATAAATATTATCAAAAATATTTATTATATTTCTGTATGTTTTAACACTGACAAACTCTTAACTCTGATAAACAACAGCATCCCCCCTTTTCCCCTTTCAAGATTCATGGATTCTCCACTGAAATCTGCCTCGCCGTGTGAAACAGTAATAAGAATGTCTGCTTTCAAGTCGCTGATTAAGGAGATAATCATTGTGTTGCAGGTTTGAATCCATCTGAAGGACGTGGAGACCGGTCCTCCAATGAGACCGTATAAACCGAGGTCCCTTGTCGCTGGCACGAAAAAGATCCCTCACTGTGCAGGGGACCAGGGCCCCCTTTTCTTTACAATATAAGCATAAGATTTAATAATTCAATAATTTTAGTGTGGTTGTGGGCTCCTTAACTCTGACAAACAACCGCTCCACCCCTCCCTGTCGCTGTTGGTGCTGGCACGAAAAAGGTCCTTCACTGTTCAGTGACCCAGAGTGTCGAGCAGCTTTCCAACGGCAATTGTTAGTGTTCCCATGAGTGAAAAATTGGAGCGAGGAACTTATTGCAGCATTTAAACACGTTTGGTTTTCGTTTCTTACAGGACCACATTTAACGATAGATGCCTGTCTCCAGTAGGTAATACCCCCCCCCCCCCCACGTGCATTCTCCATTCACAATACACAGTACCAAACTGCATTAACCGAAATACAAATAAATATATAAAAGGAAAATATATCAAGCACTATACCTCAACTCCTTTTATTTTTCATTAAAATCAATCCACGCTAGTCTATAATTTATCCATAATTTATATTGATAAATTGTTTATATTTACTGACATTTCCATTTTCCAGCATACGGATTTATATATAATAACCCCATTGTAAATTACAGATGAAATAAGAAATAAATTACCAACCGAATATGTATTATATATTATTAAAGAATATTTATTTTATTTCTGTTTATTTTAATGCATGTGGAATATTCCATGTACGAGTGAATAGGTCTCTAGTGATGACGTATTACGCATCTTATGAACGATAACTCATTATATGAACGATAACTCATGTTCGACTTCTTTTACGCCATATCTTCTAGTCATTATTTTTTTGCGCACTGTTTGGAAGAATTTCTCCCCTTTCCAACATTGTTAGATTATTTTACCTTTCCTTCCATAATTCTAGACACATTTATAAAGTACATTTGTATGTTTTATCCACCCCCAATCCTTTATATGTGTCTGAAATTAGGGGGTGTAAGGTAAATGATTTACCAAAGTTGGAAAGGGAAAAAATTCTCCCAAAATAGTGCGCAAAAAATCTTGCGCCGTAAATTGCACTTTTTTTGCATTACTGGATCTGTAGCGTTATGGTAAAACCATAACGCTACAGATCTGCAGCTACTCAATTTGATACTAAAAAAGGCAAATTCCCAAGGTGAGATCTAACTACGAAAGCGTATTAGGGCCGCAGCAGTATTTTTTTTTAAAATTTGTTTTAACAAATTATTAACAAATTTTGTTACTAATTTGTTAAGACAAATTAAAAAATATAGTAATTTGTTATATCAACAAATTATTAATTTCTTAAAACAGATTAATAATTTGTTATACCAAATTACTAATTTGTTATAACAAATTAGTAATTTGTTTTAACAAATTATTAATCTGTTTTAAGAAATTAATAATTTGTTAAAACAAATTTTAAAAAAAGATACTTTTGAGGCCCTAGTACGCTTCTGTATCTAACCTTCCCCCTCCATTTTTGTTTTGAAATATAAAGAGCTCAAAAGCACTTATTTCGGTAATAAATTTTTAACCTATAGTACACTGTGGGTTAAAAAAATTATTATCGAAACAAGCCTTTGAAGATCTACATAATATTGCAGCTCGTTGTCGATGTTGCATACGTGTCGTATTGCAGAGAGCCATAGTTTTGACGGCTTGTCCGTATTGATTTTTGAGGAATTCAGGTCACTAAATTCAAAATTACTGGCTATTTTCGAGGGATCGGGCACCTGGAAAGTAAGCAAAAAAAAAACTCCTTTATAAGATTTTTTGCAAGAGAAATATATGTAATTTTCTGTATAAATATAACTCTCCGATTACTTTGCTATGGAAACCCATTGAGGACTGAACTTCTAAAACATGAGTTTTATTTGTGGTTTAACAAAATTATTTTATTCCTTACTCGTTTTATCCGAAATATTTATCATATATTTACATTACACTTATATTTTGCATGTGTTTCCAGTGAGCTCTGACTTTCATATAGACTGTGTAAAATTTCAGTAAAGAATCTTTTAAAGATATCTTAATTCATAAAACTTTATACTCTTGTATACAATTTTTCATGTACCATTACTTATATATGAACCCTGCGTGTCGCATTTGGATCCTATGGACAAATTCCAGTTTTTTTTAAAAATAACTTTTCTTCTAATTTGTAAAACTCTTCAAGTAAATATAAAGATGAATATATTTCAAACAAATTTTGAATGCAATCTTATAGCTTTTGAAGTTTTTGTGAAAGGTAACTGTAGTTATGTAGACTAGTGATTTTGAATGAGACATCTTGTGGCTTTGAAGCGGAACGGCCAGTCCCATTTGCCACGGTCAAGTGCAACATGCAATGACCTGGTTGTAACTTCATATGCACAAATAAGTTACATTTATATATTTAGTGCACCTAGCACAAATTGTTCTTTGCCAACGTGATCTGATAAGATATATTTGTAAAATGCGCAGTTTTGTATGAAAAGTGCATGTAAACTGTTTTGAATGTTTTCCTTCTTCCCGTTACTGTTGGTTTCTCAAGGTAAGCGGACATTAAATGACCCAGATATTTGTTCTGCCTATCCAATGCCTTTGGCGAATTTTTTTTTTTTTATTGCAGATTCAACATGGATTCGAGCATGTTCATAAACCCACCTTTTGATGAAATGGACGCGGAGGAAAAATCAAAATATATTGGAGACGAAATAATGAACTTTTTTAGACCGTCGAGAGTTAACGGCCCCGAAGGAGCTCTTGTTGTTATTGTTTTGACAATTCTAGCAAACATTTTTTTGTTCGTTGCTGTTTTAGCAACAGGAAAAATTAAAAAATCTTCAAGTCTACTGGAATTAGCAAGAGGATTATCCGAAGTTTTACTGTTGGTATCCATTGCTGTGCAAAGTACGAGAAATATGTACAACACCACTGAGACTCCGAAGGCGGTATCTGGGTTTGTTGCCTTCTGGTTATTCTCTATGGGTTCAGTTTGCTTCGGACTGATGAAAGCGTTTACAGGATTTCTGAGGTTTACCGGGAAATCATCATTCTCAAATCTTGTTTGGCTGATCATTTTGGCTGTTTTCGCCATCTCTACTTTCCTAGCATTTATTGTTCTATGTGTTATGTACGTGGCTAATGTTCTCGCTTTTGTTGTTTTGGCATGCATGTTTTACTATCTACCATTCATTGGAATGTGGGTACTGGACGGATTGAGACTCCTTCATCTTAGAAATCATTCCTTCAAAAACGTGATGGAAATGGAGACGTTAACAAGAGATAAACTCGGGACATCCGAGTTAAGTCGGTCGGAACATGCGGAAGGAGAAGCGCAGTTTTTGAAGCCGAGGACAAACTTTGAAATGTTCATTGTCATATTGTATGGAATTTGTCATACAGTAGCGTTTGCCATGGTTACTATGATTATCACACGAATTGCCTGGGTGTTCTTTCGACCTGTTTCTACAGAAATTCGTTTAGAGTCCGTGCCTGGCATCCTCTAAATAACAAAATGTTTGTTGACTATTTATACCGATATCGATGTTTACTGTTCATGTACCTATATGTGCATATGAACAAACAATAATCTTCGAAACAAACGGAATGAAGTTTTGAGCATAAATTGGTTGTATTCTCGGATATGAGATACATAGGGAGTGCAGTTTTAAAGCTAAGGATGATTTTTGAGAAATGACCGTTTCAAATGGATTTCGCCACACAAATCCTCTTCTTATTGTATTAAATCGGTTTTTGACAATTTACAATAAGAGGTCGATCCTATAAATATTTTTGTGCTTTCTATTCATGAAGAGCGTTCTGGTTCAGAATGCAGTATGTATTTTGCAAAATTGATGAATGGTCTAAAATTTGAATTTAGAATAAAATTTTTGAACACGACGTTCTAAATGTTATATTTTCTAAATGGGAGTAAGTACGAAGCATTGGAGTGGGACATCCCCCCTCCCCGAAATAGGATTTTCGTGTTTGGACAATTTTCCTTTCAAGTAAGTTGAATCCCCCTTTCCAAGAACGTTGCTGGGGTAAATACTAAATGAAGTCAAATTTTCTTCATGACCGAGACTAACTGCAGAACTCTACGCGTTATGATTTTATTGACCATAATGCTAAATATACATTGTATCTTGTAATGCACATACTTATAAAGTGCAATTTTCTGTGCATTGGCTAATCAACTACCTGATAATCCCTAATTTTATGTACTAGAGACATTCGTTAACCAACCTGTATTTTTATCCACCTCCCAACCCTTCATATTTAACAGATCAATTGATGAAGATTGTTTGCTTTGAATTTTGTTTCATGGCAGAAAATTAAAAAAAAAGTTTATGGGTCTGTAGAAACGACTATAAATGGATGGGAGGAATATTAAATATACAGATTGGTTACAGAATGTCTAGAACAAGGTAGTATAAGATACTGATAAGATACTATTTGATTGAACAATTCTGGAAAGCGGAGAAATTCTCCCAAACAGTGCACAGAAAATCCTGGGCACAATTGCACCTCATTTGAATTACGGGAGCTCTAGCGTTATGGTCAAAGACTAATATATAAAACCATAATGCTATGTACAGTTTTGCAGCTTGACATGACATGCAATTTTTAATGGGTAAGAATTGTTGATCTGCATCTGTGTAATATATAAACTCTTAAAATTGATAATGGCGCTTGACTTCACTGTTAATTGCTTTACTACAATAAGTGCATTTTAAGGTCTTGTTTTGTCGGGTGGGTCCGCGTGGTGCATTGTTTACAGCATATCGGGTGGGTCCGTATGGTGCAGTGTTTACACCATGTCGGGTGGGTCCGTATGGTGCAGTGTTTACACCATGTCGGGTGGGTCCGTATGGTGCAGTGTTTACACCATGTGGGGAGGGTCCGTATGGTGCAGTGTTTACAGAATGTCGGGTGGGTCCGTATGGTGCAGTGTTTACAGCATATCGGGTGGGTCCGTATGGTGCAGTGTTTACACCATGTCGGGTGGGTCCGTATGGTGCAGTGTTTACACCATGTCGGGTGGGTCCGTATGGTGCAGTGTTTACAGCATGTCGGGTGGGTCCGTATGGTGCAGTGTTTACAGCATGTCGGGTGGGTCCGTATGGTGCTGTGTTTACAGCATATCGGGTGGGTCCGTATGGTGCAGTGTTTACAGCATATCGGGTGGGTCCGTATGGTGCAGTGTTTACAGCATGTCGGGTGGGTCCGTATGGAGCATTGTTTACAGTATTTGCTCTAGAGTTGTGTACATAGTCATATTGATATGGGAGCATCCTCAGGTAGTCTAGATTCAAGTTTGTTCAAATACTTCCCCCTCCCTGGGCTAGGGAGGGGCCACAATGGGGGATCAATTTTTTGTTTACAAAGTATAAATGACAATATATTAATAAATCTTCTTTAAAATCTGCTAAAGAACAGAAATTCATTATATTGATATAAAAGTACATAAACCATCGGGTAGCTTAAAATTCAATCCCCATAATCTTTTCAATACTAAACTGATCTGTGCTTTTTCTTAGCAAATGTGCTCAGGTGAGCGATATGGCTCATGGGCCTCTTCTTCCACATCCGACCAGGTGTCACATGATTTATATTGGGGGTTTTTGTATAGAGTTTCCATAATGTCCGAGTGTTATAAAGAGCAAGAAGACAGACCTAGGCATTATTCAGTCAGGTCAAGCCTAAGAAACCCAGGTTTGAAATTAACTGAGATGGTTCTGATGTTGATATGGATTATTATCACACTTTTGGCATCTGTCAACTCAGCTCTGGAAGCTTGTGCAAGAAACGGTACTTCAAAAGCTGGAATTTGCATTAATTTCATTTTTTAAAAATCATTTGCACTATTAATAGTGTAAATTTTAAGGCTATTTCATCGGTGAGTTTTTGAAGGTATGTCTTGAATTGGTATTCATTCAGAGATTACGAAATTCTATATAGACTCACTGTAAGTTAGCTGTAATATTTCATCTATCAGGACCATTATACATGTATTTTGTTTCCGGTTTTTCGTTAAATCAAAGACGTCTTCTTCTTTATTATTTTCAAGATACATATGTATAAAATTTTCATTTCAATATTTTCATGAAAGCAACTTGATTTGAGATCATGGATCTTTAAGATGGGCTGAATTTGCATTTTCCTTTTCAAACTCACACTTAATAAATATCTAATTGTAAAGCTAAATTAGTATCAATTTGAACCCTTCTTTTACCAGCAGCCTATAACACCTGCATTGAGGTGCCGACTGCTTCCAGCTTGCGCTTTATTCACGGATGAAATCCTTACTTGATTGGTGCTTCTCAGTAAGGGAAGCAAGCCCTTAGTTATAGAAAATCCCATGAAATATTTTCAGCAGTCCAACGGAAACGTGTTGACGCAGGATCCATGGCGTTTTGAGGATTGGATTGCTTTTGTTATTCACTGACGTAGAAATCGGGATGACTTTTCTTTACTCCCTTTTTAGCCATATTCTCACATGATTTAATAACACATGCAGCTTTATGATGAACTTGATGACTTTAATTTTTCAATCGTCAACTTCCCTTACTTATGCAGCAATAGAACCTTATCACCTGCATACTTTTTTTTTTATATTTCTCGATCAGTTGATTTTATACGCAAGAGGATGCTGTATTTTCTAAAACGAGGCAAGTTATTGGCAAACTAGTTAATGAAACAAGAATATTAACAGTCTCGATTAAAATTATAATTTGGTAAGTCTATGGTCGATACAATGACCTTGTCAGCAAATACAATCATTAAGTCAAATACTGAGTGACTGACATTTTTCATACAAACTATTAGGCTGTTATTTATATTCTGAATTGTCGACAGAATTTTTCGTTACTTCCTGATCAAGACAAGGAACACAAGGTGGGTGTGACCAGTCGCAGAGGATGCATTGAAATGAATCGCTGAATTGCAATATGTACGATTATTTTTCATATCCCCCGATTTATCTTTAATTTTCAGAATGTCGGAATGATTTATACCAATGTCTGGCCGTCAACAAGACAAACAAGGTGTGTCGGGATATAGATAGTTCATGTAGGGCACACGGAGAACGCTGGGAATTCAAGAAATGTCTGACCTTAGAGTGCCGCAGTCACAGAATATCCGTCATCAATGATAGTATGTCTGCGTTTTCTTACCAGTTGTGTCAGAGAATAAGAAATCGGAGTTGAAAAACAAACTTGCGACTAAAATTAGAAATCGGTTGATCTGAGTTTATTTCAGTTTTATTACAGGGTGTTTGAAAACCGTTAAAGAATGTTTGACATTAACAACTGAAAACCAAATGTGTCGTGACCAGCACGGTAGGTGTAGGGAGACCGGAAGTCGATGGAAACACGGATGCTTTGAGATGATGTGTCAGCAAAACAAAGTGTCAATCATAAATGTCAGTAAGTATGACTTTATCTGTGTATGGCGGGATATTCAAAAAGATTATGCAAAAAAGTGCATGGAGTCTTAACAAACCAATAATTGGTCGGAATTTTGAATACAACTAAGTATGTACTTTTCTTTTTCCTTTTCAGAATGCTGCATCCGAAATAAAAAAGGTACTCTTATCTTTTGAAAATTTATTTTCTGTACTATCTACCCCCCCCCCCCCCACCCCCACCCCAAAAATTGATATAATATTTGATATGTTATTTTAATTGTTATTATACATTATTCATATAGGCACAATCCGATGAGTTTGATTGTAGTGTTCATTTTATACTTTTTGGTATACAGATGGATGTGTTAGACCGTTAGTTTGCCGTTCGCCAGGGGAGATATGGACAATTCCAGGCACGGGGACGCACCAGACATGCAAAGTTAGAAAGAACAGAAGGGGACGTTACACATTCCATTATTACACCCCGAAAATATGAAGACATTTATGCAAGCAAAGTGAAATTAAAATAAGCATCGTATAAAAGAGAGTTGGGATTCAATTCCAAACGAAGAGTGCAATATAATTTTTTTTTAACCCAACAGTTGTTCCTTATCCGTTCCCCCAGACTACAGCCACAAACTATAATATTAATATAAAACAAATGAATAATAGATCAAGATATTCCTATTTTATCACCAACATATGCCACGGTTTGATTGATAAGAAAGCCTATTAGGATCAATCTAGAGAGAAAATAAATTAAAAGGCGTTATAACGCCTTGCCAAAAGGCGTAATAACGCGAAAAAAGGCGTTATAACGCCTTTCTAAAAGGCGTTATTACGCCTTTCCATTCCAAAAGGCATTATTACGCCTTTTTAAAAGGCGTTATAACGCCTTTCTACAAGGCGTTATTACGCCTTTCTATTCTTAAAAGCATTATTACGCCTTTCCAAAAGGCGTTATTACGCCTTTCTAAAAAGGCGTTATTACGCCTTTTTAAAAGGCGTAATAACGGCGTTATTACGCCTTTACAAAAGGCGTTATTACGCCTTTCTAGCCTTTCTAAAAAGGCGTTATTACGCCTTTCCTAAAGGCGTTATTACGTCTTTTATTTTCAATATATGACTAAACATATTTAGCCCAAGCGAGTGGGGGGGGGGGTGCAGAAAACTTACCTTTGGGACATGAATTTCACAATTTGATATAGGACTAATTTCTCAAAAAATAATTTAAACACATAGCAAATAGTTTTCCTGCTTTTTTCCAAGAAGAGAGAAAAATGTCTCCAAATGACCTGTATTTTAATACATGGCAAGCAAAGCTCAAAGATACATCTGCCATTATGAATCTCCACAAGTAGAGTGTTGCCTTCTCTTAATACGAATGCAAACAGTTGTCAGTGAGATGTGCAGGAATATAGAGATTTGCATAAAAAAGATGGTTTTAATTAAATCTTTCATATATTTATTAACATAAAATAACGCCTTTCCA